ACTCTCATAGCGCTGGCATGAGTAAGGCCGGCGAGATATGGTGATGGAGGAAGAGTGAAGGAGGGAGGAAGAGAAGAAGAGTTGATAGTGGGGAAGCAGGCTGAGGAAGAAGAGGCAAGGATTACTTACCTGGAGCGTGCGGAGCGTCGTGGAGTATCATCGGCGGCATCTTCAAGAAGAGAGAAGCACCTCCTTTCCCTGAACCTGCATGTATGTGTGTGTTCCCTACCTTCTCTCTCTCTGACCCTCTGAAGGTGACTGCTGCTGATCTGGTCAGAGTCGAAGTCTGGATCTGGATTGTCATAGTTGACAGGTCTGAGTTGTCAGAGTCTGATGATCCAAGAGTGATGTGTCAGGGACTGGTCATACTAGACTAAGTGGTCTAGTGTTCTGTGAAGTAGGAGTAACTTTCTTCTCCTACCCCTCTTGATAGGTAGGATGGGAATTGTCATTAAGGACTAAAGAATTGATGTGGGAGTGGCTATATGCCACGTCAGATAGCGTGTACCAGGCAGTATACAAGTGATATTGAGCAACGACAGGGCCTGCTAAGCCCGAAAGGAAAGAAAGAGGGACCGCAGTATATCTGCCTGGTTGGATAAGTGAACCATTTGCATCTGACAATCTGCGCTGTACTCCATACCTGCATCAGACAAACAGCCCCGTTAGTATATAAAAAAAAAAAGAGGGACATCAGAAACACATTGCCGAAGGGTGATCCAGGGAGCCAGACAGCATATCAACAAGTAGTTATTTCGATCTGATTTGTTGATTGATTACCCGCAGCACCTTCTACAGTTAAAAAAAAAAAAAAAAGGTGTACAAGAACTCCATTACCACAAGTCAATACTTAGTCAGGTGATTGGGATAGTACCTTGGTGATCCGGTGGAGGACCACCTGTGCCGGCCATCACCATGGATGACTATCCCATCCAGGGCCTCTTGGCCCTCTCTGTTTTGTTGGGGCCATTGTTCAAGTTTATGTTCCTGTTGGGGTTCGGACGTGTGTGCACGTCCCGCATGTTGATGCGATCAGGAGCAGTCAAGTCTGGCCCCACACCTGCGGAACAGGCTGAAATAGACCGCAGGCTGGCAGAGAAGAAAAAGGCAAAAGAAGTAAAGAAAAAACAGAAAGAAGAAGAAACCAGAAAGAAGATGAAAGAGCTAGAAGAAGAGTTGAAGAGTATAGAAGAAGAAGAAGAAGAAGAAGAACAGGAAGAAGAACAGATGTTGCAGCGACGTCGTCGTGATATCCCTGAGAGTAGTAGCCGGCTTCCCGTTGAACCATTGGATTGGGGGACACGGTACTATTATTCCAGCGAACCATTGAAAGAGACTGACGCTGAGCGAGATGCATTCGTCGCCAAGTTGGCCACTGTGACAGACGTCACTGAACGTAACCTGCTGATGGCAGAAAAGAGAATTGAATTGGATGCTAGATTGATAGCTTCCAGACGGCAAGAGTTAAAGGAAAAGAGAAGACTGCAGGCAGAAGGGGAGAAATTGCAGAAGGCTTTAGAAGAGCAAAAAGAGAAACCCCCTGCGATAGAAGAGCAGCTTGTTCTCCTCAGAGAGACAGTCCTCAACACAAGGCAAGACATGAATTTAGTGCATCAGAAACTACAAAGAGTTGAAGCACATCGAGTTGAATTCGAAAACGTCTGGAATAATTTTGTGGAAAAGTCAGCCAAAGATGTTGACCAACATGTGCAAACTTACATCCAGGCTTTGGACGAATATATTAATAAAGTTTTTACCCCGGAAGTTATAAAAAAGATAATGAAAGAAGCTGAAGGCGACGGAGGAGATGGAAATGGCGACGGCGATGATGACAAGAGCGGAAAGAAGAAAATTGGGGATTCGAAAGAAAAACTTCCTCAGGTAACTGGGCAAGTGAACAAGATAAAACTTAAACTGCCCTGGACTTACAATGGAAAGAAAGAAGAGAGTGTGTTACACTGGGCGGCG